AGAGAGAGAGAGAGAGAGAGAGAGAGAGAGAGAGAGGTGTTGGCAAAAACCTTTCCCATGTTTTAGGATTCTCTTCACCTCCCTCTTGCAGCCTTCACAGTGGGTGGAGACCTTCAAGGCCAAAGTCTGCAGCATCACCAAAGAACCAGCTTCACTTCTCAGAGTCCAAGCAAAGGAAAGAAGCAGAGGAGAGTGACAAGGAAGAGATGAGGTAGTAATACCTGGTATTTCAGTGGTTCAGGACCTTCTTCGGCTGCTGCCATGGGGAGAGAGAGCAGAGGGGGAGGAAGAAGAGTTTGGCAGTGGGGAATCAAAGCTGGCGGAGACCAAAGGAAAAGGGCGGGGTGAAAAGAGCGAGAGAACAGGGGGAGGGGAGTGGAAGAGTGTGGGCCGTGGAGGAGGAATGAAGCCACTCCATATGGATTGTAACCTGAGATTGGATTTTAAGGACCACCAACTGTTACTGTGAAATGAATCTCATAGGTTAAAGCACTCATGATCTTTATTCTCTTTTCCTTTTGTTGTTAAATCTCACCAATTTTCTACCATCATCAGTACTACAGAACAAAAAATAAAAAAAAGAGGTAAAACAATAAATACTTTTTGGATTTACCTTCATTTTGTGATGATCCACTCATATGTAATACCTTTCTCATCAATCCTAACCTTGAAGATAAAACCTCAAAAAGATGGTGACAAGATGGCTATTTCATTTGTTAATCACTCTATCAGAATTCCAAATGATAAGGCAAAAGAATTATCATTCCAAGTTTAATCTGTTCTACCAGATGGCCAACAGACATCACATAATCATGTTTTAGCTATCTATCCAAAATTAACAATCTAAATCTGTGTCTTCCATCAAACCTTCAATGACAGTAAAAGACAAGGAAGAAGAAGAAGAGGCACGAGAACAAGAATTAAGAGAGCAGAAGACCAGATTTGGCACACACCATTATGATTACCCTTAGTGCAGATTTTGGAGAATTCAGGAACATTAATGTTTATGCATTAAATTGAGGCAATGGGCATGGTTGGTGGAACTGATATAAATCCTCTGTTTTTATCCTGAAGGAAAAGAAAATTAGAATGGTTGTAAATTATAAGATGCCTCATGATCACATGCAGCATTCTTGCCAACCTATCAACGTTCAGAAGTTCTCGGTGGATCAGAAGATGGGAATCATTTCCACTGTTGATAGTGTCATTGTTAGGTGTAGATTGTGCTGCACAAAGCTAATTGCTAACATCAGCTCTCTCTCTCTCTCTCTCACATTAAATTCTCTTAGCACAAGGCAGGAAAAGTGAAAATATTCCAATGCAAACTTCTCACCGACACTGTAAGCTACACAGCCTAGTGATCGATCTCTTTCTACAAAGAACGAACAAAAGGAATTCGCTGAAACCTCATGCATGCAGCATCCAAGATGAGCATAATATCAACTAGAAGTCATTTAAACATGAGAGGGTCACTGGAGCTCTCTGAGCTCCAACCAGGGGATTGCAATTGAGATTTGTCAATAGAAGCACTAGTGGTGGTCCATCACACTTTTGGTAAAGAGAGTACCTGGTGCTGTTGCTTGAATATGTGAGAGAGAGAGAGAGAGAGGGAGAGGTGTCATCATAGTGATCCATGGTGTCTAAATGTACTTGAATCATATCTTGTAGGATGACAACACCTCAACTTTCTGGGCAGATGATGGGCCATCAGGAAGTCCTGTCATGTTTAGCGGTATAAGTCAAACTTACATGGAGTAGAATCCTTCAATCAAGAGAATAATTTTTCTCTTTGTTTCCTACCAAAATTGTTAATTGTCAGTATTAAACTAATCCTCTGATCACAAATCAATGGAGTAGAGACAAGTAAGAGAAAAGTTATGTTTGTTTGGCTTCAGTGCCCACTTTCTAAGAGAGAATACAGAACAACTGTTTACAGCGACCAAAAGGTTGTCCTTAATTTCCACATGATAATTTTAACCCTAACTTTCTTGAACAATGCAATTATGTTGCTCATGATATTTTAAATAGCCATAAAAAATGTTCAGCAATCAAAATTTGCCAACTAAATATACACATCTTGGATCACATCAGAATTTTTTTTCAGTGGGTTAGAGTTATGTGATCAAAGTGTACCAATGAGCGAAGCATAAGATGCCAAGATCAGCAGAGCATGGCTGATCAGTTGATTCTCCCATTAATCAATGGTTTTAGTCCACTCACAAGCTATCAATTTGGAAAGGCAGTATAGGAGGATGTAGTTAGGTGCATCAACTATCCAGTAAACTTAGGCTTCTGATGTACTGCAGCTTATAGATATGTAATATTACCAATATAATATCTCAGTGATGCAAATAATTCTCCATGTTTGCTCATCTTTAAGATTTCAGCCTGCCAATGACTTCAGAACTTAATGCCACCTTGATGCTATACTCCTTTGCTGTCAACATCTTCATTAAAGATGATGCTTCGCTGCTAGTATTTATGTTTGTTTCTGAAGCAAAAGAAAGAAAAACTTGTATTAGTAAAAAAAAAAAAGGATGATAGATGAATAGGTGATGAGCCTACCTCATCAGCCATACAGAAAAAAGAGAACCCTGAGGTTCTATCCAAAAAAAGCCATCTGCTAGTATTTGTGTTAAAAGTTCATGCGGTTGCTTCATGAAAATTTAGTGCTGCCCTATGGTAATGATCAATTCTAATTTTATAAAATTTACCTGGTGCACAAAAAATCATGACAATAGGGATAATAGAGGATATGCTCCTTTGTATCAACAAATTCTGAGAACGAAATGCTGACAAAGCAACCTCCATTCAGCTGATACGACTTAATTTTCAATGCAGCTACTGTCTCTATCCTTGTCAGTTCATCCTACATGCTTGCTTTCCCCTCTCGCTTTCTTTCTCTCTTATGTCCATTATGAATCATCTTAATCTATATCCTTCACCATCACAAAAGTGTAGACCAATGAACAAGACTCCTGTCAATGTGAGATCTGGAAAGGATCGATACATGCAGTCTTATCCTTGTAAACAGAGACACTGTTATCACGCCTCAAGCTTTATCACCTAGATAACAAAAGAAGCAATCTTAGTGACACTTCACCATATTATCAGCAACTATTCATACAGCTGCACTCAGCTGAATTATCCTCATTTAGGATTTCACATGGAAGAATAGGATCAGAAATGATAGGTGAACACCTTGATGATCCTCACAATTCCATTTTGTAGAAACCCAGCCAATAAGACCCTTAATAGGCATCCAGATAGCAGACTGATCACATTGTCTTGCATGCCAGACGTATTCAAGTGCTGGTGCAACCAACACATAGTAAATAGGGTTTTTGTGTTGATACTGGTACAATCGTTAGCAATCTCTGCAGGTGCCAGACCCATCCTTGAACAGGTGAATGAAATCCATTCAAGTCCACTTAAGCTCCCTCTTAACAATGTCACTGATCAGCTTAAATGCCTGATGACAGTCCCTAACAGCCTCAAGTTATTCATCACCCTGATGGTCATTCCTTTTCCTCTCACCATGCACTCCAACCATCACTCTGTTCCCTTTCTCTCCTTAATTCCATTTCTTACAGAAACCCCAGCCATTAAGGTCCTCAAGAGGCATCCAGATAGTAGACTGGTAGCATGTCATGCTTTTGTGTTGATAATGATACAATCACCAGTAATCTCTGCAGGTGCAAGACCCATTCTTGAATTGATGAAACCTATTTAAGTCCCTCACCACAAGCTCCCTCTCAACAATGTCACTGATCAACTTAAATGCCTCATGACAGTCCTTACACATCCTCAAGTTCTTCATCACCCTGATGGTAATCCCTTTAGGTGTGCTTATAAGCCCAAACCCCAAAGCCAGCCTCTCACTGTGCACTCCAACCATCACTCCCTTTCCTTCCTCTCCCTCCTCCACACCATCCAACCCCCACCCATTCCCTCCACCAACATATCCCCTCTCCCTCATCCTTCTCTCCAACTCCTTCAACAACTCCATCAACTCCACCTGTCTTGGACCAGCTGATGAAACCTCCCCAGTGTAGAACACATAAGCTACATCCTTGAGCTCAACCCAACTGCAAGCAGGCTCCTTCTTGATCCTCCGCCTGCTCATCTCGGCCCAAATCCTCGTCGCACTCTCCAACTGCCCAACTGCCACATAGGCATTCGACATTGCCACATATGCACCAGCCACGTCTCGGTTGAACTCTGCAAGCTTCTTCCCTGCCTCAGCTGCAATGTCCAACCGCTGGAATGTCCTGCAAGCCGAGAGCAGGGAACTCCATATCATCAGAGCATCATCACCTTCAGCCTTAACTTGTTTGGAGAGCTCGTGGGCTTCATCAAGACGACCTGCACGGGCAAGCATGTCGACCACACTGGTATAGTGTCTCATGCTCGGTGCAATGCCATGTCTGTCTCTCATTGAATTCAGGTGCAGGAGGCCAATGTCCACGAGGCCACAGTGATTACAAGCATGGAGGACGCCAAGGAGGGTGATGCTATTAGGCTTCACTCCCTGAGCAATCATCTCATCGAACAGTTCCAGTGACTGGTTCCCAAGTCCATACTTTGCTGCTGCTATGATCATGGAGGTGTATGGGACTAAAGAAGGACACTCAATATGATCGAACACCTTTCTTGCATAGTCAATGGATCCACATTTTGAATACATGTCGATTAATGCGCCCGCAACAACCTCATTGGAATCATATCCACGGCAAACGATTGATGCATGTGACGATCTCCCCAAGCCTAGTCTTCCCACGCTAGCACAAGCATTGACGACACTGGAGAACATGAAGTGATTCGGAACCAAGCTCATTGAAGAGCTCGCTTGAAGGAATTCCCCGAAAAGAGCAAGTGCCTCATGGCCGCGGGCATTCTGAGCGTAGGCTGAAATCATTGAACCCCAAGAAACCACGTTCCTTTCGATCATGTCATCGAAGATCTTACGGGCATCGTCGACTTCGTTGGATTTGCCATACATGTCGAGGAGAGCAGAGGAGACGACGACGTCCGATCGGACGCCGCAGGTCTCCATCCGGGCATGGATCGTCCGACCCAATGCGAGGTCAGCAAGGCGAGAGCAGGCATTGATGGCCGTCGCATAAGTGAAAGGATTTGGCTGGGCCTCACAGTTCAGCATGTAATGGAACAGAGATAAGGCGTCATCGGGCCTGGCGACGTGGACATAGCCGGCCATCAAGGAGGTCCAGGATACCACGTCGGGCACGGTCATTTCGTCGAACAGCTTGTGTGCGTCAGGGACGGCCTCGCGTCGCACGTAGGCGTTGATGAGATGGTTGAAGACGGAGACAGTGCGGGCGCCCGACTTGAGGAGCGCGGCGTGGGAGGCGGCAACGGTGAGCAGATCAGAGGAGCCCCGTAGGCGGCAAATGATGGCGGAGTCCAACAACATCAGCTCTCACCAAACTGTTCTCCACCTCGGCGGCCACAATGTGCCATTAAAGAGAGGGAAACAAACCTGCAACATAACGGACCGGAGGGCGGACCGGTTCGATGTACTCTAACCGGCCCAAAAGCCCAAGAATCTCGGTCAGCCGAAATGGGGCCCACAAGTGGGGAGAATCAGACCACACGATCTAGAATTGATGGTCTTGATCGCCCGATCAAGCGCTGCCCGCGTACCCTTTGTCTTTCTCTCTCTGCTGCCCTTCACCACCAACAAGAACCCCAGAAAAGGACGGCATATTAATTTTTATTTGGGATTTTTGCTTTCCGTTTTTGTTCTCTCGCTCTCTCTCCGTTCCTCTTTTTTTTTTCCTCTTCCCTTTTCGTCGCCACACCTCTCTCTCTCTCTCTCTCCCGTCGCCACTTCCTCTCCCCGCGAGGATCGAGCCGATGTCGTGGAATACGGTGAGATTTGTCGACCCTTAACCTTAGGATTAGGGTTTCGGATTTGGCATCTCAGAATCTCTTGTGCGATCGTGGAATCGGAGTCCGGAGATCCATTTTCTGGTTGCTTCTGTTGCAAGGGCTAGTTGGGAATCCGATCGATTTCTTTCTGTTTCGTGGATCTCGCTTGATTTTTTGTTTGATTGTTGGAGTCGAAGGGCCTGCTGAGGTCAGAGCTTGGATTGAATCGGGGATGGTGGTTGGATTTGGAGTTTAGGGGATTTGGAAGTGGTTGCTCTGGTTGGAATTGTAGAGTTTGGTTGCTTTCTTTTTGGTTTAAGAAGTGTTTTAGGAAGTGAGATTTGAGTTGGAAGATACCTTTTCTAGCCGGCTTTGTGGTGATTTGATGCTATATTGGGCGTTTCGCGGCCTCCTGGCGTGGGATGTGTGATCACTGAGGGGTCCTCTGCGCGTGCTGTGGAGGATCCCGTTGCAGGAAGTAACTTATATTCAAGATGGGCTCTCTTTGCTCCTTTTTTTTCTGATATCGAACAGTAAAAATCCGGTAGAAGGTGGTGGGATGGTGGTCTTTTTGACTTGAGGCCGGAGATTGCATTTGTGGGTTATTGGTGAGGCGCAAAAGGAGGTTAGTCTGCGTACTGCTTTAGATTGGTTCATTTTAGGGGCGTGGACAAAATGTTTGCTCCAGGCACAGAAGTTTCACAAGAGGCAGCTGGTGTTGCTGGTGCCATGCTGGTACCAACGCGGTTTGTTTGGCCTTATGGTGGGAGAAGGGTCTTCCTAACCGGCTCGTTTACGAGGTTGGTTTTGAACTTTTCCTTTTTACTGCATTGAATAAACATTGATGTGTTTTTATGATTGTAAGCTATGAATCTATGTTTATTTTGTCTTGGAGCAAGCTTGAATTTATATATGAGAATCAAATTCTAATTTATTTTTAAACAATTGCTTGCCTGATCTTTGTATTCAAATTTAGTTATTCTTTTCACCATTGCTAATGAAGCTAGTATTGAAAGGCAAAAAAATATGAACCAGTTTTGTCCATTGCTACTCAAGTACGGCACTCAATGATGCAGGCGAATTAGATTAAAAATTTTGTCCATGGAAAATGTCTAAGAAAAATTCACTAGATAAATGATATGTTAATGAAATTACTCTTTCATCTGATCAAGCAATCTGTGGCATTCACAAACAGCCATTATCTTGGAGTTGGAACTATTGGTTTACCTTTTGTAGGAACAAATTGCTCGTAAACTTATATCAGATGCACTTCAGAAAATACCAAAAAAAACAACAAGTTTCAAGAAGGTGTATGGTTTATGTCTTTATGATTGATATGGGAATTAAAGATCAGGTGATGTTCAGACCCAACTATTCTAAGAATGTCAGAACACACATTGCAATGGCAGTAAAAAATAATGTGCTTCCTTTACGACTTTGTATCTGCTTGGTTATAGTACTTGTGGTTCATCTAGATTATCGTTTCACTGTTAACTTGAGCTGATGAGTTTGCAAATCACATGCATCAGGTGGTCTGAATATTTACCTATGTCTCCTGTGGAGGGTTGCCCAAGAGTGTTCCAGGTTATTTGCAGCCTTGCACCAGGATTACATCAGGTATACTCTTGGCCAATACACTGTTTTTATTGGATACTGCTTTTAAGTTTGCTTTTTATACTAAGGAACATCACTTTTTACATTATATATCTTAGGGTGATTTCTTTAGTCAGTCTTGGGTTCTTTTTGAATTTTTTTTTGGTGATTAAAGTACGTGTTATAATTTTTGTACAATTTGTTCATGCTTAAATTTTTGATATCAGTAGCACTTGGAGTTTAAGTGACACTGTTGTTGGCTCACACATTTAATCATGTGCTTCTGCATGCATGTTCTGGTATTAGACCATTTCTACCAATGTTTTAAACACCGGTAGAACTTGTACGTACCAGTTGGTATCACCCTTCTGACAAAGTGCTAATATTGAAACATGTAGTTCAATTCTGGCACAGTATTGACTTTTATTATTTTGTTCAATAATTACAAGTTGGTATATCATTGGGTATATTGATAATCTTTCTAGTCATAGGATAACAAAACTGGTGTAACTTGAGATTTGTGTTCTTGATTTCTTTGTTTATGAAGTTGTTCAATTATTCTTTGTTAGGATAGACATATTTACACTTTTGTCTTGTCAATTGCAGTACAAATTTTATGTTGATGGTGAGTGGAAGCATGATGAAAGTCAACCTTCTGTCACGGGAAACTATGGAATAGTTAACACTATCTATCTAACTCGGGAACCTAATCCCCTACCTCCATTATTAAGTCCTCGGACGCCTAATAGCAGAATGAGCATGGATGTAGACAACGAAGCCTTTCAGCATGTGGTAAGTGTTGATAACAAGCTTTGTTATGCATGCAATATGTCATTATTTAATCATTTTTGGTTTTTCTAGTGTATTAATTTGTTGTATTAAGCAGGTGGCAGTTTCAGATGGCACAGTGCAAGATGCTGCTATTAGGATTTCGGAGGCTGATATAAAGATATCACGCCATCGTATTTCTGGATTCTTGTCTGCACATACAGCTTATGATTTGCTTCCTGAGTCAGGCAAGGTACAAATGCTTCATTTGTAATCTAACTTTATATGATTTCTACATCAGGTGACATTTTCCAATGGTTTAACATTCATTTAAATCTCAGGTCGTTGCTCTTGATGTTAATTTGCCTGTGAAGCAGGCCTTTCATATCCTATATGAACAGGTATATACTTTTTGATGTTGGGCTGTCAATTATTATGATTGCAGGATGGCATAAAATGTTGTTTGCTCAGTTTTGTATATCTAATGTTGTTTGCCCAGTTTTGTATATCTATTTATATTAGGATAGGCTGACCTTTTACAGTTTCACATTCCTGGTGAAATACCTTGATTTGCATTGATGCATCAGCTGATGGTTCATTTGGCATCACAATTTTTCATATTAAACTTAAGATATGAATGTTCTGAAAAATAAAAATGGGAAAAGGATGAATAACTGGATGGGAAGTTATCATGCGGAAAATAACTATCTAATGATGATGGTAACATTAAAGGTTGCCATTGCCAAACATGTTAAGTTGCACACAACTTCATGTTAAAACGAAGGTTGGACAGAGATCTGGATTTTGACTGGATTGGCAGGAAGCTGGCATGCCTTTGTTCATTTTTTGGCTATTTTGGTGGTAATTACATTTTGAGCTGACTAATAAAGAAAGAATTTTTTAAGCACACACAGTTCTGTTTTTAATTTATTTTATTTTTTCTTGATGCTTTTGTCCTTCAAATTGAAGTAACATATAGGATTTTCTTCATAAATGTCAAGGGCTTAGACTTTTACAAGTTTTAAGTCTGGGTTTTACAAGTTTTAAGCCTTTGTCCACGTACAAAATATAATAGAGGAAGATGTCTAATTTTGCATGTGTTAACATATTTATGCACAAATAAGGTTCAGGCGCATCAGAAGAACTTAATTTGGGGCATCAAGGCCCTTGTCCGACAAGCTATGGTGAATTGGAAGGCCAAACTCATTGCCACTTAACATATAACTAAACGATTGTTGGTGCATAAACCATAATGATTCTGTAATGTTTTAGTACATTATGAATTATTAATTGATGAAATTTCTTCATTCTTCTGGATTTTATTGTGAGAGGAAGCAAACCACAACAAGTTATTTACTTGTCCTCATGAAATTTTGTGCTATTGTATGCTTTCTCCATCGCTAGTGTGTTGTTTTCTAAAATGCTGTCATAGTTAATTGATGCTATGCCATTGGATTTAATATTAGCTTTTTGGCCATATAATGCTTCCTCGATGATTTTTATTTCATTATTTTCTCAGGTTCTTTTTATCATTTTGAGTTCAAATAAGTCAATCTTAAAATTGTATTAAAAAATCAGAAACCACTGAAATGTCATCCGAAATTGAAACTGTAATTTTGAAACAAAAAATGAAGGATTAACCTACTAATGTTTGCAATTATTTCATTTATACCGATGCTCGTTTCTCCAGAATCATGTTTTTTCTCAATTTTTCTGAATAAAGACATTTTCAGGGGATATCTGTGGCTCCGTTATGGGATTCTTTGAGCGGACGATTTGTTGGTGTACTCAGTGCATTGGATTTTATTTTAATTCTGAGAGAGGTGTGTGTATAATATTTTCTGCCCCTGTTTATCGTAGATTCCATTTTGTATGATTGTAGTTTGAATAATCATTATGTTCAAAGTTAGCTATATTTCTCTGATCTTCCTTGGATATTAGATCATGAAATGGTAGAGATAAAGACATTTACTTTAGCTACCTTTGAGTTTTATTATAATATTTGCTTCTATTCTAAAATAAATGTTTACTTTGATTAATAGAAAATCATGTATCTGAATGTCTAGCCAGACTATTTGATTATTTTTAAGATGATGTTTAACAGAAATTCTGAAGGTAGTTCTTTCTAATTTGAAAATAAGGATTAATTTTCTATAGAAATCATAACTCTGGAACCAACTGTTTATGGATGAAGAAAGATAAAACAAGGAAGAATGCCCATCACGAAAGCTTCTGTTCTATACTAGTATACTTACGCCTCTAATTGATTTTTCAATTGAACCTTGCCATCTCCCTTTTAGCCCTTGGCTGACCTAATTGCCGAAAGCTCTCTGTCTTCTTTTCCTTCTCCTTTCTTGTCTCTTTCTTTACCTACCATGGATTCAAAGTGTGCTACAACAGGGTGGGGTTGTGCAATGTTGTGGCCTTCCAAGTGCTACATTAAACTTTGTTCCTTCACTCTCTAATCTTGCAAACCCTGTGTGAGGGTGTTAGTGGGGCATGTGATCTATAAGCATAATTGTAGATGATTTATGTATGTTGTTGTCATTGTTATTGACAATTGTTTCTGTAATTATGTAGATCAAGCGAGTAATAATACATGCTCAGAGTGGTAGTTGTTTGGTTAAGCAAGATCTTTTGAGTAAAATTCTTCCTAACAGATTATTCTCAATGGATTAAGTGCTTTCTTTTCAAATGTTATTTTGCTCGCTTTGGTTCAGTGAATTCTGTCATACTCAAAGAGTAGGCATTATGCATTCTTTGGGCCAAACAAAAATTTCCTTTGCTATGTTCAGTGCCAGATTTTTGTTTAGGTGTTTATACATGCTCAGAGTGGTAGTTGTTTGGTTAAGCAAGATCTTTTGAGTAAAATTCTTCCCAACAGATTATTCTCAATGGATTAAGTGCTTTCTTTTCAAATGTTATTTTGCTCGCCTTGGTTCAGTGAATTCTGTCATACTCAAAGACTAGGCATTATGCATTCTTTGGGCCAAACAAAAATTTCCTTTGCTAGGTTCAGTGCCAGATTTTTGTTTAGGTGTTTATCTTATTTCTTTTTCTTTTTTCTAGTTCCTTTTGATATTTCTATGTTTTCATTATGAATTATGAACTTTTTGCGACTTGCAGCTTGGAAATCATGGCTCAAACCTAACAGAGGAAGAACTTGAGACACACACAATATCTGCTTGGAAAGAAGGAAAACATCAAATTTACAGGCAGTTGGATGAGCATGGGAGACCAGTTCAAGGATGCATAATACACGTAAGCTATCGTGTTGTTTTGTCTCATTTAGTTATACTTTCAAACTAAATGCTTTGTTTGTTTTATCTTCATGTTGAAAGAAGAAACTAAAGGTTGACTAGCTTGTTAGTCCTATAATAATGAGCACTTACTGCTAACAGAACCTTAATTTTAAAAGTTTATAATAATGAACCTTACTGCTAAGGGATGTTTGACACCTCATCCAATATTGGCATTAAGGTCAGACACCTGATAGATCCCAATGGTTGACTGAATCTTCAACACAAAAGTGTTGGGACATTTTCTTCCCAACTATTGATAGAGAAATTGTGTAGATGACATGTCTAAGGGTCCACTAATTCCTGAAAGGAATCACCCTACTGGCTACTAGCACTAATCTATCTGCCATTGGTAGAGAGTCTATATATATCATCCAAATGATATTGCATTGAATTTTTTTTTTCTTTCATCAGGCAAGCATCTATTTGTTCATTCATTCATTCTTTTTTTCTTCCATTCATCATGTTCATAAATATGCATATATCATCACATAATTCATGATACGTTTTAAAATATAATTTTTCATGACAGCGTCAGTAACTTTATTATCTCAAGCTTAAAACACCATAAATAATTAGCATCATATTTTTTGGCAATAAATTAGATGAGGCAAGCCTCTATAATAATATTTGGATAATCCTAGTTATCAGAATGCAAAGATTCTGTATTAAATTGGCACTTGACAGTAACTTCAGAGAATGTTAAGTAGATGTGTGCAATGCCCTCATATATGAGAAAATAGAGCAAGGATTACAATTTTGAATAATACGTACGGGCGGTATGTAGCGGTCCGTCAGCAGATCGGTACACGGACCGCCCACTACCGAGCGGTATATATATATATATATATATATATATATATATATATATATATGCGATGTCGTCTCGGTGACGTCGCCTCTTTCTCTCTAGGCAGGAAAAGGCGACGCTGTGTTGCCTCGGCAACGTCGCCGAAAAAGGTGACGCGACGTCGCCTCAGCAACGTAGCCGAAAAATTCTTTTTTGTTTATATATATATATATATATATATATCGTTCGGTATACAGTACCATACCGTACCGAGCGAATATCGAAACTCCGATATGGTACGATATTTCAATCTTTGAAATAGAGTATTCATGAAAAATGCTAAATGAGAATTTCTTGTGTGTTCAAAGATTATATCTTGGTCAACTAATAATTCCTTGACAGTGTAGTAAAGGATCACAATTTTGTTATGTTCTTGTTGGCCTGGATTTGTTTTATTGTGAAATATAGGACTACACTTTTTTTACCTTTCTTAATGATTACCTTAGCTAATTGCGGCATAAGGGGCTTTTAAGATAGATTCTTAAAGTTAATGTTATTTTTTCAGTGTCACTATTACTGTTGCATTTATATATTTAGATGCCATATTGATCTTATCATAAAGTCAGATACCATATTGAACTTATCATAAAGTGCTATTCTTTTGTCTAGGATTGTCCTGATGGTTTTTTGAATGATTATATACATAAATACCATATTAAACTCATTATAAAATGCTAATCTTTTCTCTAGGCTGGTCCGTATGATTCTTTGAAAGATGTAGCTCTGAAGATTCTGCAAAATAAAGTGTCAACAGTTCCAATTATCCATTCAACAGATCAAGATGGATCATTTCCACAGTTGTTGCATCTTGCTTCTCTTTCAGGAATCCTACAATGTAAGCAAAGTCTTGTTTGTTGTGTGTCTGTCACATCATTGTACACGGTCTAATGATGGACCTTAACAGTTTTTCTTCTCAACTTCCAGGTATCTGCAGGCACTTTAGACATTCTTCCAGTTCTTTACCAATTTTACAACAACCAATTTGCAAAATTCCATTGGGTACATGGGTTCCTCGAATTGGAGATCAAAGTGGACGTCCATTAGCCATGTTAAGACCAAATGCATCGCTCAGCTTGGCTCTTTCTTTGTTGGTTCAAGGTGGACTTTTAGCATGTTTATCTGATTTGTAAATTGTTGCAATGTCTTCTCCACTGCTCTAGCTTTAACATATCCTCTTTTTTTTTTTGCTTTGCTTTTGGTGTGGTATCTTGCTTTATTTTCTGATGGTTGGTCATTTTCATGGTGTGATTTCAGTTTCTCTATATCTTTTTTTGTTTTATTTCTAACCGGATGATCAGTGGTAAAAGTTTGATTTGGCTATACCATATTGATTGATTTCTTTAAAGCTTTATGCTTTAATAAGGAACATGCTTTAGGTGAAATAAAGCATGCCAATGAAGAACATGCTTTACGTTAACATGCTTTAGGTGAAATGATAAGGATCATGCTTTACGTTAACTTTGAGCTTTATGCTTTTGAGGGTTGATCATGCCAATGAAGAACTTATTGTTAACTTGAGAATGTATTATTTTGAGCCTGGTATCAATGTGCCTTTTTTTCCTAAGACCTTTGAGCTTTTTTATATCACTTCTAACCTCAAAGTTAACGTTAACCTTATCTATAAATTTGCAAGTACATAAATTGCATATCAAGTTTCTAATGAGTTCTAGTACCTTTTGTCTACAGCTGAAGTTAGTTCAATACCCATAGTTGATGACAATGATTCTTTGGTGGATACATACTCCAGAAGGTATGCCAAATTGCCAGTTCTGCATTTCCACTTTCCAGTGTTTTTATGTTCCTTCTATTTGTTGTTCGGTGAATGTGGGAGGTTTCTGTCATCTCTGCAGTGACATCACAGCTTTGGCTAAAGACAGAATTTATGCGCAGATACACCTTGATGAGATCAGTATTCATCAGGTAAACATGTAGAACTTATTCTTTTATTAAAACAATCCTACCCTAAAGTATTCATCAGCATTCCTTTCTTTGAGTAAAAGCCATGCCAACATGCCATCAGCACTCTCTGGGACTCGAGGCCAGAGTGGCTGTGATTTAAACAGAATACTCTTGGGGACTTGAGAGGCCATGGAAGCTGTGATTTAACCAGGATAAGAAGATTGACTGGCATTCTGGGGTATAATAGACCTTCAATGGTCTGCGGAGGGGTGACTGATATGAGGTCCATACCACAAATTGAGTTAATGACATAGTCTGGCATGCTCAAAGGATCACGAGGTCCTTATCCAGCTGATCTCATGTCCTTGATTGATGAGGAAAAGATTAACAGGCACTGGGTAGTTGATTGCCAGCTTAAGGTAGATTTGGACATGGTTTTCACCAAACAACAGCTTATTTAGTAGATGTTGCCCTGAACAAATGTCAATTGTGAGAAATTCATCTCCCTCAGTTAGAAACAATAATACTATAGGATCTTAAAAATTGTTCCACTAGGAGGACAAGGTCATGTAAATTTACTACAGGCAACTCTCGGGTGTGGTGTTTTAGTAAAATGCAGCCCTCACTGTACGACAGGTGCCTAGATGCCAATTTTAAATTTTTTAGTCATCTCCTTATCAAGTGGATTGACTATGAATGACTGATCACATTGTAATCTTTTACCGATTAAAATTTGGGTTACAGACACCAATAGATTAAATGTCAACAACCCTTTCTCTCTTTGATTCATACAAGCCAAGGTTAATGGCTTTTATTTTCATAACAGACAGCCTTGAATTTTCCATTATGTGCTAACTCTTACAATGTGATTGGAAGGAAGCGATGTAAGAAATAAAAATTTAGGTTCTCGTTTGGTATAATAGATCACCTTTTTAACATTTTATTCCTACATTTTATTCATTTCTTTAGGGGCGGTATTTAAAGTTGATCAAATACTGCTTAAGCTAAACTCTATATTGCTCTTGGAAATAGATCAGTGGCACTATGTTATACTAAACCAATGATCTAGAATTTGTGAAACATTGTACAAAAAGCTTTTATCATTTTTTAACATTCTAGGAACTTCCGCTGCTGTTATATGAATTGATGTAAAACAACCATAGTTCTTGATAAATTGTGTCCTATTTTTGTTTACTCAATGACCTAACTGAATGGATATTTCTGTTCTTTTCTATGCCAAAATTAGGCACTGCAACTAGGGCAAGATGCAAACTCACCGAATGGGTTTTTTAACGGTCAGAGATGCCAGATGTGCCTCCGCACTGATCCTTTACAAAAAGTGATGGAGAAATTAGCAAATCCTGGTATAATATGGTCATTGTGATGTTAGTTTTCATGTGTTTGTTATCTTATGCCCATCTTTGATTGGTGACAGGGGTGCGACGAGTTATCATTGTTGAGGCTGGCAGCAAGCGTGTGGAAGGAATAATTTCACTTAGTGATGTAATTAGGTTCCTGCTTGGTTAGCCACCAAATCATTGACATCTTATGAGCCAATTGAGGCTACTGTTGAAACATCACTTTTTGGTGAAGAGTGCCTGTCATCCCATCTTTTTCTTTCTTCTGTGATTTATTTAGTTGGATAGGCCACGACGGTGCCATGTAGAAGGCTGCAAGGGGGTCTGTAAATGTTTAGGACATTCAGTTTTATTTTTCTCCGCCTTACCCTCATCTCTCTTGATCATCATCATTGGTGTCAGATATTTGCTGTTATGTGGGCTTGTAAGGGGCTATACTATTTCTGCCCAGAGAATTCATCAGATGATTCCAACAGGCAGGCATGATGTGAAAAGAATGTTGGGGTTCAGATCCTTTAATGGTATCAGAGAAATGATACCTAATGCCACAAGCAACTTGATGAATCATTGCCATCAATGAAGCAGCACTCAAAGAGGATGTTCTATTACTGGGATCCACGGCAATGGAAGTGGAGGATCAAAGTTGGATTTCCACAACTGTTGAGGTTATTTTATCTTTTAAGAACTGTTTTTGTTTCCTTATAAATGTTGTCATTGATCAGTAATGTTTGATGGTATTGCATGATTGCAAGAATCAGTGCTGACGTATCTCGGCTGCTTGTGTAGAGTAATTGTTCTGTTGTTGTGTTGCGTTTATTTATTTCTGACGCTGGATTTCATCAATGTGGTTAGAGACAATGAATGAAATATTCTCTTTAATCATATGCTTAATGTCTCTCTCTCATGTTAAGTTTAATTCATCCTGATTTAACATATTCTGTCACCTTTTTTGCCTTTTTCTCAAAGTCATCAGTCAGGTTAAAAACAATGCTATGTGTTTCAACTTAGCATTTCCCAAATTCATCATACTTCCATGCGAAAGAAATAAAACCGTTGTGGGCTTACAAATGCCAGTCCAGGCAGAGCTCAAAATGTGGAGTTGAGTGAAGTTAATTCAGCCTTTGTGAGGTTTCGACATGGATCAATCAGAACAAACCGGTTTAGCAAAACTAAAAGCTAACGAATTACTGGCAACATAATAGCTGATGCATGACTGGGATTGAAGGGAACTCAATGCTGGCAAATGCTAAATCCTCTCAAAGAAACTGGATTTTGAAAAAGAGGAGGATATCCACGGTGGTTGTATAAACGTGTACCCGTATTGGCGTACTGTGTGATCTGCTTCACAAATTGGACTTCTTCGTCCAGATATTCCTGTTTACTTAGAGCAAGTCGATTCAAACCTCATGACAGAAATTTCAGGTACACTCGTATCGATGTTTGGGCACCGAGACACTTTGCTGATTCAATTACGGTAGCCTTGTCTGCAAATTCACCTCTGATTTCATCATGTCTTTGGTAGCATACTGAAGACCACCGACACACACGAAACTATAATTTTGACACATTCAAATGGTACAAAAACAAATGTGGATGAAATTCTTCATCACCCTCTTTAACTTTGGACATGACAAATAACCAATCAATCAATGTGACAGAAAAAAAATGAGGTGAATGAGTGGCTAATCCTAAAACGAAGATCCAGATAGATACACTACAATTTTTCTATCAAAAGTTACACATCATAGAGTTAATATTGGAGGCATGATGCATAATACTACACATAGTTTTACCTCCCACTACACCTCAGTAATCAGCGTAGAAGCCACAAATGCAATGCAAGTGGTCGATCATTTATGATACGGAGCTAAAAGGATTATTCAATTTACCCTCACGTATGCCGCACTTTAAAGATCCTCCGAAGAATGCCAATCGATGAAGAAATCAAAAGAAAGAGATGGTTTCTTCTATTTTTCCAAGAACTGTGATAGATGGGAGAAATCTGGACCTTTCATCCGTAGCTATAAAGTTTATCATGACAGGATGACTCATCTCTCCACATGTAGGATGATCAAATCCTTGTTCAGTGCCTCCAGAGTCTGGAGGATCTCAAGCACCTGAGGAAGAGACCTGTCTGCCGTGTGGAATACATGTACACCATCACCGAGCTCAATCCAACTACACCCTGGCTCTTTCTTCACATTCTCACCCTTCATGCTTTCCCTTAACTTCCGTGTCTTATCCCATTCGCTTTCTGCCGCATGTATGCTGGAGAGAATAACCCAATTGCTCTGGAATTCTGGATCCAGTTTAAATAGCCGACAAGCAGCTAGCTTACCAAGCTTGGTGTTACCATATATCCGACAAGCATTAAGCAATGTACTCCAAACAGCAATGCTTGGCTCTAATGGCATGCCTTCAATGAAACTGAGAGCTTCCTCCAAGCAGCCACTTCGGCATAGAAGATCGACCATGCATCCATAATGTTCCGACTCTGCAATGGCGGCGCCTTCTTCCTCAAACATCAATCGAAAATAGCGCCAACCTTCACCGACCAGCCCCCCATGGCTGCAGGCAGATAAAACTGCAAGGTACGTGATTCCATCACGTTCGATCTTCAGCTCAACCATCTTTTCAAACATCATAATTGCCTCACCAACACATCCATACTTCCCGAAAGCCGAAATCATGGTGGTCCAAAGCACCGGGTCGCTTGAAGGCATCATTTCAAAGACGAGCTTCGCCGAACCAATACAACCGCACTTTGCATACATATCCACCAAACCGTTTCTGATAACCAAGTCTGAATCAAATCCACTTTTGATGATCGAAGCATGAAGCTGAAGTCCCTGCTTGATCGACGCCAGAGCGGTGCACGCGTCGACACAGATAGCATATGTGAAGTCACCGGGTCTCATACCATAAGCGACCATCAACATGAGCAACTCCAAAGCTTCCTCGGCTTGCCCACATCGCAGGTAACCAGACATCATCGAGTTCCAAGCAACAAGGCCTTTGACTGTCATGGAACCAAATAGTCTCCGAGCGAACAAGAGACACTGACACTTGGAGTACATGTCAAGCAACCCATTGTAAACAACGGGATCGACTGGCCCCAGGAAGCTCGACTTAAGCACCTGAGCATGGATTTGCTTACCGTAATCCAGGGCCTCAACTCCGATGCCGGAACAAGCAGCCAAAGCGCCAGAGAAAGTGTACCAATTCGGTGCCGTGCCACTGGCGAGCATTGCCCGGAACAAAGAGACAGAATTGTCAGACTGCCCGTGGCGTGCGTGGCCGATGATCATGGAAGTCCACGCGACGACATCCTTGTGGGGCATATCGTCGAACAGCTTGTCCGCGTCGTCCAAGGATCCACATTTGAGGGCGAGATCTATCAAGCCGCTCACCAGAACGGTAAAGCGAGAGAATCCGAGCTTGGTGATGAAGGAATGGATGGCTTGGAACTGCTTCGGAGATCTGATACCCGCTAAGATCTTGATGAACTTGGAGAGGGAGTACTCATCCCGAGCTGAAGGTGTCAACATAGTGGGGGGCGTAATCATCGATCGAATCGACACAAGGAAACTAATGTACAAGAAGTGCTAAGATCTTCCCGGATCTAATAATCTTGACCGTCGTCAGTATACGAAAAGCTCGATTCAGTTATAAGTATTAATAGGATTTATATGCTTGTATTTTAATTTATTTACGGAAGGAAGAAAAAGGCAATCGTCATTTACTTTTTTTTGTTAACAATTTATACTATAACATGTGAAATTTTATATATGACGAAAATTTCACAGTACATAATGATTTAATTGTACGCACACACTCGAAAGCAACCAATTCTAGATGATGTCTTCATCTCCAAAGTGTCATTAGAAAAATATAATTAAATATTTTTTGAATGGTTTTTATTCAAAATAACAACAGAATAAATAAAAAAGAAGAAACTATTCATGAGAAGTGAGAACAGGAAAGGTTATATGCGCATATTGGTCCTAATTAAACAATAAAAAATGAGGATACATGTCCTTAGGCATCGGAATCAGCTCGATCAAGACAACATACCATATCAACCATCTGCTTCGCATTATGAAACGCATTTTGCAAGATGCAGGCAGAGATCATTTTTCTATAATATAACAGAATTGGATTTACACATTCTGAAACACATTTTGCAAGATGCAGGCAGAGATCATTTTTCTATATATAACAGAATTGGATTTACAGTGTCAATGAGAATGAGGTCATTGGGAATGTAAACAAAATTGAACTTGTATACCAAATAGTGAGAGACCAAAAACCACCTTTTTGCTGTGCACCTGACCATTTCTTTACAATTACTTGGAGGTATACAAAATAATGATCTCTTCAAGGAACCAAAATATGGAGACAGCTAGCGGTCCGGACAATTCAATCTGCTAGCTTTGTTGTTCATCTATCTGAACACAAAAAAGAAAGTTAATGGAGAAATCCTCTACCAAAATCATAGTAGGAATTAAAGATTGAAATTGAAATGACTTTGGAGAACCCAGTCTTAGATAAATTTGAAAAAGTAATTTAATTTAGAAAACAGCCAGCAGGTTATGCTTCGATATATATATTTAAGATAAATCGGTACAAAATTTTACACTAGCAATGAAACGCACTCTTGCATGACACAGCTAAGGGAACAGCAATGAGCAGCAAAAAAGATTAAAGAAAAAGGTGAAGCATTAATTGTCTGTTCCAGATCGACAACACAGGTCGAAAAAAAGTACCCTAACAGCATATTGGACAACAATACAGAACAGATTATTTGCGACGATTGTTCAACTGATGTTAGAACTCTGTCATTAGCATGGCCAATTTGCTCCCAAGTCAATTATGTGATAAACAAATGGCCAGGAAAGTCTCCATGTAAACTCCGGTCAACAATCTAAAGTTCCCATGTCCAGCAAATCGGAATGACCAATGAGCCAATGGCCATGAATCAAAAACATTAATGGTCACATCGTTTTCAAGGATTACTAATTCATGGCATGGGGGCATGGGCAAGGATGACCCAGCATATGCCTACAGGCACAGCATTCTCTTATTCTTTCAATTAAACGATGTTTACCATAAAAGAAAATGTGGCTGGCAAAGCTAAACTATTAGCAAGGGAGTTTCCATGTAATTAGTGCATTCATATCCTGTATATGAAGAATGTGTTGAATTATAAATGAAAATGAACAAGTCATAGAATCAGCCAGCAACGAAATGTGTCTTCCAGGTATCCATCATGTGGCTGGTCCTATTCAAATTCCAGACTCAAGTCATTCTAATTTTCTCAACAGTAATCAACCCTGTCCTTTTTCTGGAAGGTAAGTTCACATGCTAAGGTCATCGTGAACAAAAATGACACATGATCATGTTGGAACATAGACACATCGGTATAGAACTCGAGCTTGCACACAGAAAAAAGTGACCTATGGCTCGTAATGAATTTTGGCAAAAGAAATAGATAATGGAGGTTGTTATAGAAGCTTCAAGAATAGAAAAAAATAAGACGTGTATATGCCATTTAATATGTATATCAATTTCTGACTTCCAAAATCAGATTAGAGTGGAAGATTCACAACAGTTCTACCTGAGTTCCTATGAGGAGTATGGTGTCAAAAGATTCTGGTTCTCATCATCCCTGCCGGAGCTAAAGCAGCAGCTGCAGGCACCTAAGGTTTTGGAAGATGTAACAAAATTGGTTTGAGAAGCTTATAGTTGATGGTGATCTTGATTTTCCAAAGCATAGGTCTGAAGTTTGTGCCAGAATCTGATCAGGGCTTTGAACAGCAGCCAAGTTGCATGCATCTTTCTGGTTGTCAATTGAAAAGACATGTAAATGTAAAATCTCATTTTTATTCAACGATACTCAGAAGTTAGTGATATATGAGGAGTAAGCACTATCTTCTCAATTTGTAACCCTTTAATCAAAATTCTTATGCAAGAAAAGAAAAACTCATAAGGCATGTCTAAATAAATGTCTTACCCATAAATGTCTTACCCATGTCAGACTAGGGTAATGTCATAATCTCACCAAAGACAACGATTGGTTGAGAATTTGATGAACAGGAGCCACATGCAAACTAGCAAGTAACAAAAAAGATCGTTGGTTCTCAGACTAGGATAATGTCATAATCTCACCAAAGACAACGATTGGTTGAGAATTTGATGAACAGGAGCCACATGCAAACTAGCAAGTAACAACATGAATAAAATCAGAGTAGTATATTCAACACTATTTGTAGTTGATCACTGATTAATCCTTGATCTGCTTTCCTTTGATGACAAATTAAAATCAACCAAGGTCTGGAATGTCTTCAGCCTCATAAACCTTATGATTGCCATATGGCACTTGTATAGGAGGATGAAAGAGGCATAGTAGATTTCTTATTTGTTATACTTTTTCTTGCCTGCAATAAGTAGCAAGTCCATTCAACTTAGTTTGAGTAAACCTTGCAATGTACAAGTTACATTTTCTCCAACTACTGATCATACATTATTTTTAGCTGAAATGACTAGAATCTAGATTTGGAATTGTTGAACCTTAAATGGTTGAAATGATAAAAATTTCCATAAGAAGTGATACATATGCTTCTTGTTTATCAATTTTTAATTTGAGACTACATATTATAAAACTATTCAGTGGGGCACAATCTAGCCAAGACAAACAGACCTAAGTGACAACTACAGACCATTGTTTAGGTCCAGTATCTGGACTTCTGGCTGAAAGTTTGTCACCGTGGGCACCATGAATTGTCAACCATGGTAGTCAATCTTCAAAGATATAACTATGAAGTATGAAGTACCAATTTTAAGACATTACATATACACTACCTAGTAGTGCCATATTATGCATAACATAAGTACAACTTTATTTGACTAGATGAATGAAATTGTTAATACCTGAACTGTTGCACCTCAGTTTCTTGACTTGACATTTAAGGTTTAATCAGAAATGCTAAAATGAGGTAAGATATATGCTAGTGCTCATTGTTATTGGCTGAACGCTGAAGTCATTGGCTAGTTTGTGGACATTTAAATAGAAAGGATGAATGTTTTTAAGAGTGATGTAAGTATTGCTAATTACCAAAGAATAAAAAAAAGAAAGCAAGAAAAATATTCTCCAAGTGCTTGGAATAATTAAGTCAATCATTGCTGGTCGAGTTTGATCAAAATCAGACTGTCAACAAAATGAGGAAAAAATTTATTGAGACCAATCAATTCCAACTGAAACATATCAAAACTGTATGAAACCGCTGGACCAGCTGAATCTACTAAAGTCCAACAGAAACCAGCTGAAATAGTTAGGTACAACTTACTTAGATTGCTTCCACCAAAACTTAAAACCTTTATTGACACATATGTTGTGAAAGTGATTTTTTTTTATTTTAGAGAGACAATACTAATTATATTATTCCTTTTAAAGCCTGAGAAAATTGTCAAGACAATGATAGTTTAATAATATATAAATTCACTAGAAATGAAGCTGATAGAATTATGAGAAAGTAATCATACATGATATTACCTCATAATAAATTACGTAACCAAATTATAATGAATTTCAAAAAGTGTCGAGTCAGAAAGAAACTAGAAAAATCATTAGCAAGTATAGATGCATGACATATAATTCTCATGCAAGTTAGATACTAAGGATGGAGAATAGAAACTAACTAAAGGATCCAATAAAATCAGATGCATAGAAGGAGATAACAAAAACATGAGATCAAACAAAGATAACTGGGTTACTTTGATAAGCTGTTTAATAAATCATGTAGGTAGCTTTTTTTAGTTTTACTTACATAAGATGTTCACTGTGATTAATTAGAGTATATCAATCTTAGTCCTGCTTCAATTCAGATATTTTTTATATAAGGTTTTCATAATTCTAAACAGATTTCAACCCTACTATATTCTCATTGATAAAAAAACAAGATTAACTCCCAAGGAAAACTGGCATTAAACTTCAACATGATCATCTATGATCATACAGAAGCATAAACAAAAACATAAAATAAAAAAGGTCCTTATTTTTTTGATGCGCCGTCACTACACCTTTTTGTCAAAAATGATAGAAAGGAAGATTATGTCTAGTTAAACTTTGAGATGAAAACTGGTCTTACAAAAAAAGATATATAAGAAATAATCAAACTGTAGCAAACTGGGAATAAATCTAATTGATTATAAGACAAGGTAATATCATTTTAAGGTAATTTAGATGTACTCAAAAGAACCTTCAGTTTATTGATGCCTCAAATTTAACCTGATCTGCTGACTCATAGATTCAATTTTAAGCCTCCTTCAAAGCTTGCGCTTAATTATTAAGAAGCAAGGCAGCAAATATAATAACTTTTTGACTTATAAAACTGTAACCCTTGTTAGAACCAAATGGACAGAAAGATCCATGTAAAAGGACACCAGTATTTGAGAGGCTTGGTTGTGTTTGTAAAGAAGTTCAAAATAAAATAGCTCTGGGACACAATCACATATTATGTGCATTTGATTCCAAAGTCCAACAGCTAGCTAGATGATTTAATAAAAGTCTGGAAAAAATATTTCTAGGCAGACTAATACTTCTGTCTAATATCTCCAAAGGAATCACTGAAACTTTTGGAAATGCTGGTTTCTTTTACTTGAAGACTCGTTTAAGAACATTCTTATTAAAGAACACCTCAATTTGTCAAGTTGCTCCGGAAGTTTCCACAAAAAGCTAACATTACTAGTCTTTTGAAATAAAACAGCGAATAGCAAAACACTGTTTGACAATCAGAGATAAGAAGTGTCATATTTGTTTTGACTTGAAATTTAAAAAAAGAAAATTGAGCTTTAAAGCAATAAAGGTTGAGTTTGCCATCATATTCTAGAAAAAAAGATTAGTCCTTTTCATACCTTAATTTGGAGCGACATCATCTCTGACTGTTCCATGAGGCAATTTACTAGAAGAGGAGATCTGTGAAGATAACATGTCATTCTCCCGTGCTTCTTCTGGACTTTGAAAATCTCTGCCATGCTCTTTTGCATATGATTCATGGAAAAGGTGGCAAAGCTCCCACCGGAGACGATGGTCTCCACGTGAGTAGTAAATTTTGGATGCAAGTGGAGCTGGGGCTTCTGAAATTGTGATAGATAAATGTGTAAGCTACATAGTTGCACATGACTATGGTATGAACAAATAACACTTTGAAGCATTCTATAATAGTCGGTATTGAAATAATATGGATTATGAGGGAAACTGCATTATCTACCCAACAGGAAATGAGGTTTCCAATATTCAACTCAGGGATCTTATTTTTAAACTATGACAAATACCAAGATATACTGCCTATACTGGAAAAATGTGGGACAATATTCTTTGAAGAGTGAACATACCAATCAGTTCTGATGGATACTGGTCAAGAACCGAATGGTTATTAGGACATTTTCCCTTAAGAACTGAGTTGTTTCACTTGAGTAAATTGTTACTAATCCATTTAACTCTTTAAGAAAATATTTAAGTGGACTGGTTAGACTTACGGTTCAATGCTAAACTCAAGGTGGGAAAGTAGAGAAGAAGGCATCAGACCTTCAAAATCCCGCAAAAAAAAAAATCTAAACCGGTAAGTCCCTCTAATTCCTTCACTGTTTCCTTCTTTCTTTCTGACAGCTTGTACCATTTGATATTGTTCATACCAGCACTAACTCTACTGGTGGACCAGCCAGTCTTAATGCACTATGGAATGCCCTTCAAATTCTTGGAAAACAGTCTATAAATAACCATGCAAGACAGATAAAATGTTTCAGTAACAAAACTGTTAATTTACAACCAACATATTTTTTTCCTGCTAGAGAAATAATACAAGACAGATCTCCATTGAAGAATCTGTTATCCTATTGTAATACCTAATGACAACAGCCTCAACAGACTCAGTTAAGTGAACTTACCTCTTCGATGATGTTGATTATTGACTAGGCCATGTTCAACAAATTTTGTCACAGATTGATATTTACTTGAAGCATTGCCAGGTACTTCTCTTCTACTTGAAGCTTTCTTCTCTAACTCACATCCTGAAGAAAAAGAGGAAAAAAAATATTGTCATAAACATTTAGTGCATGAAAGACTTCAGAGAACAGTGACTAGCTTGTCTGCCTCAAATTTAAGTGAAACATTCTAATAGATAAATCTCTGTAGAAAATTATTTTCCAGTACAACAAATAATAAGCTGGTGAAACAAGATAGTTTTGGACTTGCTGCTAGCTATATGTCCACAAGCTGTAGTTGATAGATAAAACAAGGATAGCATTAGAAAGTAAAAATCCAAGGCCCTCCATGAAAGCCCGACTTAAGTATGTTAAGCAATAACAAAAGAGAAAAATTAACGCCCAAAAATATATCTTTTTTACTTGCACCGAGCTAGGAAAAACTTTACTCCAAAGTGGGCATATAAATTTTTTATTAGTAAAACGAGACTATGTCACTGATTTGTATTGTAGTGCCAACCAAAAATGTCCACCTGAGTCAGGCAATAGATAGCATAGAGAAAATATGACCAGCAATTTTAGTGCTTTGAACAAGGACAGTATTCAGGACCTTCATGAACTCAGTTTAATACTATAAATGGTACTAGCACCAAGAAGTTCAACTATACCAAACAAATGAAGCATACATAAAGCTTAGCATGTTTGTTTAGAAATGGTATCGTATCTATGAAATAGATCATACAAAGAAAAAAACAAAAGAGGTGATGCCGCAGATAAAAGAGCTGCAAATACATGTTAATTGATACATGAACCTGGTACATTTTTAGTAACAGATTAATAGAACATACACTTTTTAATGGTTAGTGTGCATTAAAGTGCTTGCATATTTGCAACTTCAGCATAATTTTCAGTTACAGAACTATGAATAATGATTTTTGTGTTTAAATCAATTATAATGAAAAACTGAAGAGTAAAATAAAATTAAATGATTAGTGAACCTTAAGAGGGGAAAGGAGTTCTAAATAAGACAGATTGTATCATGCATTTGAAAAAAAACAATCACACACATGTTAATGGTTTTGCATGAACATGGTCATTATTCCTGATCACAGGACAATGCTCAAGAATTTTGGATTAAAAAAGGCATCATATATGTGAACTGGTCTTGTACCCCCAGATGTAATCTCAGAAGCATCAATTGCTCTGGAATGATTATCCAATGCTGCAGCAGTGACAGAAAAGAGAATTAGTGAAGATGAATTGAAAATGAATTGGCAAAGTGAACAAGAGACAGTCAATATAACAAACAGCAGAGAAACATATATGAGACAGGTTAAGATGACCTTTTCCTAGTTAAATAAGAACCAACTAGCAAGTAAAACAATAATTTTGTACTTGCTTCTATAGCACAGAAGAGTATGCAAAAAGCAGATAGAAGGCTTCACAAGAATGTAATGCAAGAATCACAGTTACAAAAAATTGGCTGCATAACTAGCTGTGTAATATATACCAATAGCTGACAACTAAATGAGATATCACAGGGTTGCATGGTAGTGCTGAACCATGGTGGCCGGAAAATTTCATGCTGACATAGTGCCAGCACCATTACCCCCTTTAACAGCTACTGCATCCTGTTGATAATGCTCAAACATGCTCCTCGCCCTTATTTTGAACTTTTGTATTGATCAAGCTTTATTCTGAAACGTTCTCCAACCAACCTGATTCAATCAGGCTTGAGGCCCACTAAGAACATCAGAACCACTCTATTAGGTTTCCTATAAATGAATCTGAAAATATCATTTACATTCATCATTTGAAGTCATTAACACACACAGATTGATTGCATATCCAGCCATATATTTCCTACTACCCAGTTTGGTCCACTGTAAGAAAATCCTTAGAAGGATGAAAGTGCAAAGTGGAAAAACAAAGATAGCATGCATCGTTGGTTTGACAGGCCCGTATGTAGTGCAAGGACAGCAAAATCCAGTAAACAATATAGAGTGTGCAAGTATCAACTCCAAAAAATATATAGAGAGAAGTGGATAATATAATTCAATTTACTCAAGTATCACTGCCAAGAAAGAAGTTATATCCACCAGATTGAAGACAAGGGAACTGAGGGTGTGAACTGCATCAAGAACCAGTGAATGACAAAAACAATTTGAAGGTCGGCATCATTGAAAGGAAGCTCTCAGCCCTCAGTTCTCTTTTTTCTTTCTTTTTCACTCTCACTTCTTGCATTGGATGCTATTACAACAAAAGATCTGGGTTCCCACTTCTTTCCTTATAAAATGTTAAATCTTCCATTTATAACTGTTTTTACCCCTCTGATTCAACACTAGTTTCAGATTTTGAATTTTTGGCTTCATTTTGTGTGCCATCAACACTCCAAGCTGTGCTAAGTGCCATTATGCTTCAGCATGTGCCATTCAAATGGTCATGTCAACAGAACTTCCAACACGGTTGTAAACTACTCCAAGGGCTGGAGAACCATTAGCATCTATAAAAAAGAATGCCAGAAACATGGTAATGATTTCTTTTCTACATTGTCTTGATCCAGTTAAATTAGTGACCTGATAGCATATGTGGAAGTAATATTCTCAAAGGTTGTTAAACCCAATTTGCTCATAATAGGCCATAATATGTATTCCCTACATCAATTCTTGATTTCGGATAGGCATAATATCACATGTAACCAGTCAACTGCAGAGTTTATGCAGTATATCATTCAAATTAAAGGTGGAAAGGGGGAAGCTATAAGAATCTAGTACCAAAATACAATAAATAATTCAAAACTACAAATGTTGCTATGTTTACCAATGTTTGATGCAGAACCACCAACATGATTGGCATCCATCAATAAAGACTTCTCTTGCTCTATAATAGTCATTTGCAGATCCAGGAAAAGTTAAGACTTACAAAATTAGAAGTTTTTTCACAGATCTATTGTAAGCATAATACTGACTTCAAGTTTATAACAGTGTCTATAAGAACTTTATTTTTAATGATTTGACCCTGCAATATGTATACCAACTTGGAACAAATCGCATTAATAGGAAAATTGCCAATGCAAGTCTTATCTACAATATATCTGTTCAACTTGATTTCTCTAAAAAAATTTAATAGCTATTTGCTTGAAGACAGAAGTCTTTGGAGTTTCCAGACTAAGAAAGAAAGTACCAATCTGTGCTTTTATAGCATAGTGCAATTCAAAGTATAACTAGCACAGTAAGTGCATTCATGCCAGCACTTATGTACAATATTTAATACCTGTCTTGAGCCCATGTTAATGCACAATGATGGCATAAAATCCATCACTGACCAGTGGACATAGGCCACCACTTAACTATTCTACCAATAGCACAGCCCAGTACTTGAACATACCCCAGTTTCTCCAGCATAACAAAACATCACATGATACCATGCTGCTTGATGCCAACCCATGGCCCACATGCTCATCAAGTTGTAACTAGTCATTGAGAAAGCAAGGCACGCGAGAACAACATGATGGCAAGTGGCAATATGGCCACTTAAGCAAGTTTGCTTTAGTATCCTTAAATGATTTGAATTTCTATTCCTGTAAAGCCTATTATCCCAGATTAACTTTTTTGGAAGCAATAAAACAATTTTTATTCTTTGACCAAAATGGCTAGTTTCATTAACAACTTTGAAATGGTAAGGTTTTATATACTCTCAGTTTGATTGTGACATGGATGAATATACTAAAACCTATCAAATGTACCAAGAGATAAATATCAATCTAACATCATAGTGATGCCAGTAAATAACAGTCTAAATGGCACACAGCAGTCTCATACTTGATTCCTTAGGTTGTGAGGATAATTATTCTAATTTGTTGCAAGCACATATCATTTTTACCAGACAATTTACCATTAAAAACTAAAAAGTGAGTCACAGCTACTTAACTCCATTCATTTCCTAACATATTCAAGTAACTTTTCAACCTAATATTGTTACAACTCTATATGAACTAGCATGGTCGTTATTGTGCTAAATCACAAATTTTTGGGCTAAGGATAGGCAACCTTCTAACGCTTCTGTCAAATGTTACTCATCCCATTCATATGCTTCGAGAAAGTCTATGAAAACCAGTAAACTTTCACCACATGAGCATCATCTAGAGCATGGTTTCACATTTCAGGTATTGGACCTGTGCTGGCTACCTGTTGGATTATAAGGGTCCAGAACATGCTGGCATACCTATATAAGATATGCCAACACATTGCTGCAAAACCTTTTTAAGATTTGTGTATGTACTATATACCATGTTAGAAAGCATGGGCTGCAGCTGCAGTTCATGGTGCCAACTCGACCGGCTAAATATATACGACAGTAGTCTAGCAAAAAATTAAAAAGCCAAAGGACCAACTTGTAAATGATTTTCATTTCACAATCTACATTACAGAAGGCATTGAAATAAAAACAAAAACAAAAAGAAATATGTTAAAGAAATAACAGAAAGGATACTTCCATTCGATGGTTGAATTAATTTTCTCCCCTTCCTTGGAGGCTTCTTACGGCTTGAACCACCATCTTTTTCCAGAACATCATTCATACAGTTCAATGGTCCACAGCGTTCTGCAGAAACAGTAATGTCTACTGAGGAGTGGCACCCACAAATCAAAAAGTTGGATGCTTAAAAGATGCTACCAATCAGACCAAAACNGATTGTTATATATATATATATATATATATATATATATATATATATGTGTGTGTGTGTGTGTGTGT